TGTGGCTGGCAAAGAACAATCCAATCTGTAGCTTCAAAACATCCCTGTAGGGCTTCTTCAGCTTCCTGTAACCACTTTCTCACAGTCCTTGTAGTTACAGGTTGTCTCTGAACGTGTGGTTTATATTCTGAGCAGAGATAAACAAGGTTGTGATCTGAGTTACCCAGAGGAGGTCTTGCATTGGCGATATATGAATCCTTAACATTTGTGTAAAACAAATCCAATCTCTTGTTTTCAGCAGAGATGGAAAAACTGTCTGAGTCAGAGTGAGGACTTTGGCTACATTCACACTGCAGGCAAATCYAACCCAAATCCGATTTTTTATGATAGTCTGAACGCAAGAAATCAGATTTTTTTTCAAATCCGACCCAGATCATTTCAGTGTGTGGTTTTAAATCAGATACATATCTGATGTTTTCAAAGTGACTGCAGTGTGAACACTCATGCCACATTCCATCTGACTTCTTCATCAGGAGGAGGAGGTGAAGGATCGATGACACTAACCTCAAGTCTCGCTGTCTAAATCTGTGGCTCCATGTGTTTACAGCTCCAAAACACAAGTCCAGTTGCTTCATCTTTTTACTTTTTATTAGTATAATAATAACCATGTTCAGCCTGGGTCGCGGAGAGTATCGACCCTAAAGTTAGCTTCTCGGTCGATACTTATTTCCAGCTCATAGTTTCGTTCAAAATTAGAAAGTTTCACTGGAGCATCCAGTCAGAGGCACGTTCAGATATAAACACTGAACTAAACAAGCATCAGATAATTATTTAATCAGCTCTGATTAAACAACTTCAGATTCGACGTGCTAAAAGTAGCATTCATGCTAAATCTGTTAATAAACAAGCTGGCTGATGAGACGTCACGTCTTTTACTGTGCATGTGTGTCACATCAGTGCTGTGTAGCGTTCACACAGGGGTCTGATGCAGGTCACATTTAAAATGTAACGTGAACGTTGACACAAAAAGATCAGATTTTTTCAAAAAATCGGAACTGAGCATTAAGACCTGCAGTGTGAACGTAGCCTTTGACAAGGAAGTAGGCGAAGTATGCTAAGATTTAGCATACTTAGCATATTTATTTTTCACAAGGGTTGCCAGATATTGACATCTCACTCACTTGTAGTACACAAACAAGTTTTTCTCTTCTATTGCCACTAGATGCTATCCTGAATGCTAACTATGTTTTATATGTCTTCCTGGGTCAATATTTTTAACCATGTTGGAATGGAGTTAGGTTCAAGAAGATCACGTCAAGCTAGTAAGCTGTGATCACCACGAGTGTCACATATGCTCTAGATTGTTTATATACCTAGCAATTAGGGATGCAACGATATAGAAAATTCACGATTCGGTTCTGTTCGATACTTTAGTCTCACGGTTCGGTATTTTTTCAATACAAAAAAGAGAAATGTCCATGCCCTTTTAACTTGTAAATTATTTAAATTAATTATGAACATTTGTTTAATCTCAAAAGTACAGTTTTTAAATTAAATGTTGCTGAAACAGCAAGTTTCTCAGTGGATCTGAGCTCAAAAATGCAGCCTAGGTGGAGTAGTCGAACACAGATCCACTGATCCTTCAACACAGAGCATCTTCAGAAGACAAGTTGATRAAATAAATTTTTAAAATCTGTATTGTTCCATACAAGTGTGTGTTGAACCTAAAGCTCTGTTCGATATGATTCAATACGGGTACATGTATTGTTGCACCCCTAACAGCAATAACCATAGCTGTAGCCTAGGCATGAGACCAGCGATGGTCAGTTCTGCTTTAAATTTCCAAAAGCTAAGCCATCCTGTTGTGTACAGGTGCCAMACTTTTAATATGCTGCCAACATGTCAACCTCTCCGAACATTTACCTGTATCATGACCCTCAAAAATGCATGCAATGTGTGTGTGTGTGTGTGGGGGGGGGGGGGGGTATTTAAAAGACTTACCTTTGCTAGGTCCACCAAGGTGTTGGCCTGATCATTGAGTTTTCTCTGCTCCATCTTCACACTGCGCAGTCTAAGTGTGGGCAAATAGGTTTGAACAGCACAATAAGAAAAGAAGGAAGAAGAAAATGTAAAGAAAGAAACAGACATAGAGGATAGGTGGAAGAAATATGGTGACAATAAGAAGATAAGGGGTTGTCACATGTGTGTGTGGGGGGGATTTGGGGTAGGGGTGGAGGGGCAAGAGAAAAGAAAGACAGATGAGGAAATCAAGTTTCATTAGGCTTTTTCATAAATGAAAATAAAATAGGACATGCATTTTAAAAACATTGTTTTCATATCTGTGCAAACATATACTGTATATATTTATGTATATATACAGTAGAAATAAATGTGTATGTAAGCAAGCATAATTGGCCTTGATAAATACAAAACCAACCAAAACATGCAGGAAAACAGAAGCATACTACACTCATTGTGAAAAACTAAAGATTGTGAACTTGAATTTTTTTTATCATGAAAAAATAAAATTCATGGTATTGAAACTGTTTAAGCAGCAGTAGGTGTTGTAAAATACTTTTGATTCTATGAGATCTTATTACAAATAGGGGTGGGCGATGTGACAAAGTTACATTTACTGCTTTCGGGGGAAGTCCTTTCCAAAATAACGTGTTGGAATCCTCAGACTGCATTTATATGGCAGCAAAGACTTTTTCTGTGAAATTCTACCACCTTTCTCACTATTTCTAGAGAAGAAAACATTTTATCTCATCACTTTTATTGTTCATAGTGAGACAAAAGTTGTGATATAAGATTTTACACTGTGAAACAGGTAATTTTCACAGAATTGTTGTTAGACATATTTGGTATTGTAAAAATTTGTTGGTGTCATATCATGATGGTCCCTGTCAATCCCACCCCTACTGTTTGTCATGTAGTWCATACTAATAGAAGCTGTCCTACAATTTGTGATTATGGCTCTGTGTAAAATTACTTAATCTAGCAAGGGGGCAGATTACCAGTTATCATTGACAATATACCAAATGATATTTTAAGTTATATGTGAACAAGACAAACTGTTTTGAAATCTTAAAAAACAACACTTTGGGTAATGTGTCTGTTAGAAATGACCAGGTTTTAGTTCAGCCAAAGCACCAACAGTAGGTGCTTTTCAAACAACAACTTTTAAATAATTCTCTGAAGATAATAAAAACATTATGATACTCAAGAGCAATCATAGAGACCAAATTGTTTGCTTTTATGCAGGTAGGAAAACACTAACCCTACAACACTTATCCAACAGTCTGCGCAGCCATGTTCCTGATGCAAGTGACGTTCATCATCAACGACATAAACAATAAYAACAAAGTTTTGTGCTCTGTTTCTTTGGTTTAAGCCTCATTCATTATGGTTGACAATAAAAAAGAAGTTGAGGTGCCCAAAGATGCCCACCTCTAATTAAAACATGGCTGGATCACAGCAGTTCTTTATTGTATCTTCTTTGTTTAAAGTAATTTTTCCCTCTCTTTATGGCGTCCTTTACAGCCTTCTCAAACCACCTGTTTTCACTGTGTAGAAGAGGAACATTTTGGTCGTTTATCCTTGAGGTGAAGAACCGGTTTTCCTGTGTTGACTCATGTCTGTGGTGAGGCTGTTTGGGACTGAGGACGTCTCTTGGAGAAGAGATGAAATATTTCAGCAAAGAAGAACCTGTCTACAGTACTGAGCCCACCAGGGGACATGGGGGATTTTTTTCTTTTTGCGTTCCCACACAAAAGTATTGCTATTACCTTTAATTTATTTAGACTTTAGGTTTAGCTTTTGTTTGTTATTTTTTGTTACACATTAGTTTTTTATTTTTCTTTTCCTTGCACAAGCCAGCTTGTGCCAATAATCCATTGCACTATTTTTCCCATATTTCTCCAATGTATTTGTTGAGTGATGTTTTTGTGTTTAGATATTTCATAATTATTCCGTTTGGTTTGGTTTTGAGTATTGTTTACTCAAGAGGAGGGATTGTCATGGACTAATTATTTATCTGTTTTCCCYTTGACACTGTTCATCTCTCATATCTTTCTGGTGGCTATGGTCGCCTCCTCAATGCACTGACCTTTACCATACTTTTTGGGTGTGAGCCTTGTGATTGGCTGAACAGTACATTTGGCGATCTGTGATTGGTTGTAAACTGACACATGGTATTGGTATGATGTATATTATTGGCTGTGTTCTGCTGACGACTCCAGTAGGAARTGAGCAGAACCTTCYTTGATTCRGTTCTGTTTGTTTCCTGCTCATTAATTAAACCATATTTGATTATCATATCCTCAGATTTTTCTGCTTTATTCCAACGTGTTTCTGCTTTGCGACCACACTCGTCATACCTTTTGTGTTCCCTCGCAAAAGTAGTTTATCACTGTTGTGCTGCCGCTTTATTAACAAACTCACATGTTCACTATTAGCGAGTTAGCCTACTCCTTTAATTCAGCTTCAGAATGAATATATCACACAGACACACATGGAAGTGTGTCATATGTTGATATTTTAACACAGTGCAGCCACACAACATCAATGTCAACTTCACGAACTTATGGTGACACATCCTGTTTTAGTAACCGGATATTTTAAAAAAAAGTCTGGTTTAATTCAGTTCATACTCAAAACAAACTTTTGCGTGAGAACGCAAAACAGTACAGTGTGGGAACGCAAAAGTATTGCGAGGGAACGCAAAAGTATTGCGAGGGAACGCAAAAGTATTGCGAGGGAACGCAAAA